AAAATTGCGTCACCCTTTTGCTGTTTTCTTGTAGTGGGATATCCGTTGGAAATTTCAACGGAAATCGTCAATCGTTGAAAACTGTTGGAAATTCGTTGGAAAATCCGTTGAAAATGAGTGATTTTTTTGTAGTGTAGGTATGTCTTGTTGTGTGACAGTCAGAGTGTCATTCATCTTGGCAAGAGTGTCATTCATCATACGTTTCATTCAAGATCGAAGCATATATTGATGTGAGGTACCATTGGATTAGAGATGTCGTTGATTCGAAGGAGATTGAACTCGAGAAGGTTCATACTGATGATAATGGTGTTGATATGATGACGAAGGTATTTTCTAGAGAGAAGTTAGATGTTTGTCGCAAGATTGTTGGGATGGTGATTTGTTCACATAGTCGAAAGGGGGAGAATTGTTGAAATTCCTCCCATGTGAACAAGGTTTGGAGGAGAAAATCTTGTTCTTCAAAGGTTAACACCTCTTTTGACATTAAACCACCATTTTTTAAGCCACCATCTTTGAAGCTATCTTGATTGAAATTTGCAGTCATTTTTGTTGAAGAAATTAGTGCAAAAACTCTTATAAATAGTGAATTTTGGGGTGCAAATGAATCACAGCAACAACAACGAGAAACACATGAAAGAAAGAGAGAAAGGGAGAAGGAGAGTGAAAAAATAGTTTTGGACGGTTTTAATCAAATGATCGATCGGATATTGATCTCTTATCCGATCGATCTGAAATTTTGTGGAGGGATTCTAACTCTTTGTTCTTGATTCTGAACGGTTGGATTTTGATTTAAACGGTTAGAATTGAAGAAACATAGGTTTTACCAAAGTTGTTTGTCCATGGGTTTTAAACCGCGGCAGGTTTGATTGTTGTGAAAATCAGACGATGGATTCTTCTCCGATCGAGGTGAAATTTGGTATGCTCGTTCTAGACCCTCTGTTCTTTGACTTTTACGGTGGGATTTAGCATTGGTTGTTGGAATCAGAATCTATGGGGTTGACTTGCTACCTAAGTTACAGTTTGTTAAGTTATGATCTCTTGGCATATTGAGGTTAGAATATTGACGTGTATATTCTATAAACTCGGGTGTGTTTCTTGTATACGGAGGTTGTTGTGTGGACGTTGTAATCTAATTATTGTGGATTTTTGGGTGGACTATTGTCCCGTGGTTTTTACTCTTCACACTGGGGGTTTCTACGTTAAAAATCGTTGTCTCGTTTGATTTTGATACCGTTGCACTAGATATTGTCATTCTCGCAGGTTTACATAAATACGGGGTTTGGTTATTGATTTTTAATATACGATCGAAAGTCACGTAAGATCTAACATTATATTCTTTGAAAAGCGTGGGAGAATCCCCGTCATAAGATATTTGTCTTCTTTCCTGATACTGAAGATCCAAAACCTAAGATGGGCAAGTGATAAACCATCATACTTTGCATGCATGGATGCTGGAATTGAACCAATGAGAGCAGGTGACACAGCCTAATTTAGCAAGCATGGAGGTAATGGAGATAATTTAGCAAGCATGCAAAAAAAATATCAATTTTCCCATATATATATATATATTCATATGACAATAGTGTGATCCACACCCTCTTCAAATCAAGACTCCCGTATCATATTTATATTTTTATAGAATGTGTAATGAATTCAATAACTCCATCCACTTAATTTTGTGTATTGGATTTTGTCCTCCATTTTCTCTCTATAATTAAAGGGAAAATTTTAAATCAATAGAATTTTAATTCGAAAACAATAGAATTTGGGAAATTTCGATTGAATCAGGCTTTTGGGCCACTTGAAGAATCTCTTCACTTTTCAAGAGAAAATGAAGAAAGAAAAAAAAAAAGCTAGAGGATGTTTTACACATGATATGCTCTACAGTGCTTTTCTAACTATTTTAGCTTCACTCATTCCGTTAGGCCTTCTTGACTTTTTCAACATTACAAGGTTTTTTTTTTTCTGTTCTGTTTAAAAAAGCAAATCCTTTATCTAAATTTTGCTTTTTCTTGTAAAGAAATATAAGAAAGTTTAAAAAAAAAAGGAAATTAAATTCGCCTAAAACTAAGACTAGAGCTGAAATTAAAATGCCCAAAAAGAGTAACATTCGGACAATCGAATAAACTGAAACGAACCAGAAAAATGAAATCATAGTATATGAAATGATGAACGTAAGCAAATTTTATTAGAAAAAAAAAGATGTAATTTATTTATTCTCATCGGAACTCTAATACTCGCGAAACTCCGACAAGCCATCGAACCCATGAGAGGAAGAAGAAGAAGAAGAGATCCTCATAGTGGGAATGGGAGCTAAGAACAACGGATCCATTTCGTAATTCCCCAACGATCCATCTGACGGGTTCGTCGACAAATACGCGCCGTAATTGATCCCCGGAGCCGACAACGCCACCGCATCCAACATCGCCGGCGACGGTGGAGGAATCGCCGCCAACGAGCAATACGATAAACTCACCTGCCCTTGTTCTCCGATGCTCTCCTCCGTCGTTATCACCGACGACGATTCTCTGTCATTTACGAAAATGCCCCTCCGATTGCCGGTGCACCTCTTGTTGCAGCCGTTGCCATTGCTGTTATTGTCGTATCCTTGATGATGATGATGATGATTAATGTCGCTGTTTTTGTTGTCCTCTCCGTGATCGGAGACGACCGTCTCCAGCGGTTTACTCCGGCGATCTATGCCAGCGGAATCGACGTCGGAAGGTGACATTCCGGTGAGTTTTTGGACGAGGGCCATGAAATCATTAGGGTTGGTGTGTATGACTTTCGGGGAGTGGGTGTAGATGATCACCGGATGACGTGGCTTCGCAACGGCAACGGCGGAAGAAGACGACGGAGACGGCGGTTTCTTGATGAAGTGAGAGTCTCTTCTGATCTTCAGCGACGTCGCCGGCGGTGAATGTAAGCCGCCGCAGCCGTTACCGGAGTTTCCGTAAGGCTCTCTCCTTGAGATTGCGTTCTCATTTTCTACGAATTTCGGTGAGCTCATTTAAAAAAATAATTAATAATAATAATTAGTAAAAAAGGAATAATCCATTGTGTTGAACTAAAATATAAGCAAGTACGGGTATACAAGTACGGAGAGAACTTTGAGGATCGATTCACACTTGTCAGATTCTGTAAGTTAGATTTTTCATATAATTATAAGTTAAACTGATTCTCCATTTTAAATTTTAACTAATATAAATAAATAAATAACCCAGTTTACTACTATTATACTACACAAATGGGTATATTTATACGTGGAATTTTAGATATCGATTTTCAAATTTAAATTGCAAGTATCAAGACGAGTATTTTTGTTTGCAAAGTCCGGAGAATCAAAACGACGCCGTATTTTTTGCTAATGTTGTTCCTGATTTGCCCCTGTTTTTTGTCCAATATTACATCCAAGACCTGTGTGAAGATATGTTTCTCATCCCCTGCCCTCATCGCGACGGAGAGTTGAAGGGTTTTGCGTGTTACTGTAAAACCCCCAATCCGAATTTTTGCCTCAGAAAGGAATTGTGCAGACCCGTAGAAGTTCGATCGGCCGAAGCTAAAAGGTGAAAGCTTTTTCTTTTCTCTGTGTTTCTCTCTTCTTCGAGTCTCTTGCGTTTTTCGTCAGACGAGTAGACATTTCTTGGGTGAAGACCACAAGCTTTGAGTTCCATGATGGAACCCAAGCTTCTGCTTTCTGCGCAGAAACCCTTGTTGGTCTCTTGCAACCGCTTATTTCTTGAGAAACCCTATTTCTCTGCCAATTCCTGTGTGCCCATGTCCGTGATTCGAGCTTCGAGGTCTGAGTTCATGGGTAGAGGCTTGGCTCTTGGGGACAAATATGGGTTCTTCTCGGGTGCTTCAAGGAAAACCCGTGTTGTGGTGGAGCCAGTGAGAGCTGCTGTGAAGAGAAGGAAGGAGCTTCCTTTTGACAACGTGATTCAGAGGGACAAGAAACTGAAGTTAGTGTTGAACATTAGGAAGATTCTTGTGAGTCAACCCGACCGAGTTATGTCTCTTAGGGGGCTGGGTAAGTATAGGAGAGATCTGGGTTTGCAGAAACGTCGCAGGTTTATAGCTCTTCTGAGAAAATTTCCTGCTGTTTTTGAGATTGTTGAAGAAGGGGCATACTCATTGAGATTCAAGTTGACTCCAGAGGCTGAAAGGCTGTATCTTGATGAAATAAAGATCAGAAATGAGCTGGAAGATGTGTTAGTTGTTAAGTTGAGGAAATTGTTGATGATGTCGATGGATAAGCGTATATTATTGGAGAAAATTGCCCATTTAAGGACAGATCTAGGCCTTCCTCTGGAGTTTCGTGACACGATCTGTGAGCGATATCCGCAGTATTTCCGGATAGTTCCTACTCCTAGAGGCCGAGCTTTAGAGTTAACTCATTGGGATCCTGAGCTTGCAGTTTCAGCAATTGAATTGTCTGCCGAGGAAAACAGGACAAGAGAACTTGAGAGGAAGAATTTGATCATTGACAGACCCCTTAAGTTCAATAGGGTTACACTTCCGAAAGGTTTGAACCTTTCCAAGAGCGAGATGAGGAAGATATGCAGATTCCGAGACATACCATATATATCCCCTTATAAGGATTTCTCCCACTTGAGATCGGGTACACTCGAGAAAGAGAAACACGCTAGTGGAGTTGTTCACGAGCTCCTAAGCCTAACCATCGAGAAGAGAACCCTAGTTGATCACCTGACCCATTTCCGTGAAGAGTTCAGATTCTCACAACAACTAAGAGGAATGCTTATACGACACCCTGATATGTTCTATGTGTCGCTGAAAGGGGACAGAGATTCGGTTTTCTTGAGAGAGGCTTACAAGAACTCTGAGTTAATAGATAAAGATCCTTTGACACTTGTGAAAGAGAGGATGCGTGCTCTTGTTGCTGTGCCGAGATTCCCAAGAAGGGGAGGAGTGCCCAGGAGAGAAGAAGAGAGAGTCGGAAGTGATGCAGAGGCTGAAGATGAGGAAAGTGATGGAGAATGGTCTGATGTTGATGGTTACTTGAATGATGGGGATGGCGAAGGCGATTGGACCGAAGGAGATGAAGAAGAAGAAGAAGAAGGACCTCCTGATTTTGATGATGAGAATGGTGATGAAGAAACCGTAAAGATCGGATTGAACGGAGCTTCGAGTAGTTCTTCCAGGAAGAAGGAAGAAGAGAAGGTTCTTACACTTGTGTTCCCGGACGGCACTCCTAGGGAAAG